GGGTCTAGTAGACCAAGTTTGGAACTACCTACTCCGAAAATAATGATTATGAAAAATTAATAGCACACTGAGTTTGACAGTTGAAAACAGTTGATATATGTTGCACCGGGCTTCCTCACGCTCGTTTCGCTAAAGTTTGACAAATGACATTTTTCAACCAGTGAATTAGATTTATAGGGACAGTAAACACCCCCTCAAAAGGAAGGTATTTTTGGAGGTTTGGAGATACATATCCATGGTTGCCAGATTCCACAAACATTCTTTAGCTTTAAATGTGGATAATAGATTCTCTGAATCTTTCCAAGTTTCTTAAGCAATAATTTCTTTTTGAAGCAGTTACTTATAGAAGATACTTTGAATGATGTGAAACTACTGGTTAATATTTTCCATTTACGTGTCATATTAGAACGTTTTTAAAAAAATATTTTAAAAAATGTGACGAGACAGTTTTTGTGTTTTTGAAGTCTTGAAGAATGACAACATTGAGAAAACATTCAGAAAGAGGAAAATATCGATTTCTGATATTTTGGTTATGTCAATAGGAAAATATATCTACGTAGTGGTTACCTGCATCTCGCGATGATAAAAAGCTGGTTTAAAAATATCCCAAGACATTGAAGACTCAACATCATTATCTTTTAAAAATAATACACGATAATTACGAGCAGCATGCAAGTTCATTCCTCTTCTATTGCCAGGCTCGCAACCAGTTCTGTGACGAGGCTCGCGTGTAATTGTATCGTTTTTATTCATGAACGGCCCGAGGGGTAGCGCTGATGGTCGATTTGCCTCCCGACTTTTCTTACTTTTTTCCAATGAGGCGCCTCTGATATCTCCGCGCAGGATGTATACCGGCTGTCCTCCAGAACGGAAACATTGTAACTTTCATACTTCAATCTTTACTTCCCTAAAAAAAATTAAAAAGGAAAAGTTTGAAGGTCAGATTATTTAATTTGTCCAGAAGTGTTACTGCGTTTGAATGAAATTCAAATAGCGATTTAACAAGGTGAAATACCTTTTGACTTCCTGCTTTTTCATTTTAATGGTAGTGAAGTTGAAGTAACATTTTCGTTCCACAGTTCATCTGGTAGATTTTTGTATAGCTTGTGAGATTATTCAGATTCAATTCTGTTTCGCTATTGCCTTTTCCCCCATGAACCATCATCGAGCATAGCGATCCGACATCTGTATCGTGAAATCACATTATCACTATAGCAAAGTGTCAGAGAAAAAGAAGAGTTCGAAGAATTTTACGTGGTAAACTTCGTTGTCTGCAAAGGTAGTTTTTTTTGTTTATGTGCCTGTGCTCTGAAATGTGGAAATAATAACATTTTTGGTTTTACCACGCGGCGCTGATAATTTTTTTTGAATTGTTCAGTAACTGGATTTATAATTACGAAAATGTTGTTATCGGTATTTCGTTTCAGAATTGACGTTTTCATTTCGTTTTATTATTATTTGTTTATGTGCCTGTGCTCTGAAATGTCGAAATAATAACATTTTTGGTTTTACCACGCGGCGATAATTTTTTTTTTTGAATTGTTCAGTAACTGGATTTATAATTACGAAAATGTTGTTATCGGTATTTCGTTTCAGAATTGACGTTTTCATTTCGTTTTATTATTATTTGAACATAAGGGTTTCCCACTAAGAATAAATGGCTTTTCCACTAAGAATGAATGGCCTTTCCGGCAAAACTGCCGGAAAACTACTGGAAAAGCCATCAACAAAACATAACAAAAAATTGGAATCATGATCAATATATTTTTTATTCATCATCTTATAAACATGTCAAATTTGAAGAAAAATCACTTTGCAACGAATTATTCGAACCGTATATACGAAGGCGTCGTATTGTTGAGATTGTCTGATTGATTCGACCGTTACTTGATGAAGATCCATATTAATTTCATAAACTATACCTTACGATTTGATCTCTACAAACTTTATTTGGGAAATATATCACGACATGTTTCGCTAACACAGTAGCTTCTTCAACAATGATTTGAATACTACAAGTTGCTTCTTTTTGAATTCCTAAGTTTAATAACTTCCATTGCTTCCAAATGATTCAGTTTCAAACCTTTATTTTTTATGTGTAAAATTTCTTCTAAAAGATGATTTCAATATGTTAAACCTGTTTTCTTATTTACATAACTCATATTATGTTCCTGGATTCGATTCCTAAATGTTCTGCCAGTTTGACCAATATATACTTTAGGACACGTACCACACTTTAATTTATATACCCCTGATTTCTCGAATTCGAGAATGGAAATTAATAAACTTAAAAATTCAAACATTCTAATGAATGACTAATTGGATTTGAATAGATCACCATTATTGAACTTGGTTTCTTAAAAGACCGAGAAAGTATTATTATTGATGTAGAACTGAGGTAATATGCTTTAGGTAATCATAATTGAGAATGGGGAATGTTCCTCAATTTGGGTTATTACCGGAAATGCAAGTTTGAACAAAATGAAGTTGAGTTTAATTCATGAGTTTTTTGAATTCACTTCGAAAAGTATTCAAATTAATGTTTCAAATGTTGGGATTTAATTTTTAAAGGGATTTGGTTCTAATTCACATATTGGCAACAGCGCCTATATCAAGTTGAATAATTTATACGTACCTAGATGTTCTACTTTAAAAAAGGGAAATTATCTTTATAACTCGACAATAAAGGCAAAATATAAATTATAGTTCAATACCACCTCCACAAGTAAATTGTTGAGATTGGTTCGAAGATTAGTATCAAGAGTAAACAAGTGAAAAAGGAAATACATTCAAATTGTGATTTCAATTGAGTTATTGTTGAGGCTCACTATTTCTCATTAAAAAGGGTAGCTACATAGAATCATCAATACATAACGTTTATTAATTTTTCGTAGATATTTTTAGATTTCCATTGAATCATTCAAAGAGTATCTTTTATATAATGTTTATAACTGTTCAAAACTGCTCATACAAATTGAATTTCGTTCCACTTTGAACAGAATGATGGATTTATCGAAAAACATTTGCAAAAGGTTTTTTCTCAAATATTAAAAGTTGAAAAGTGTCAGTTGATAATCTGAATATTATGATCAGAAGGATAATGAAGTTACTGTGTATTTAAGATATTAGACTACTATAATCATTTTCATGCATTACGTTGTGTATCGTTCTTATGAATGATATCTGTTCCAATTGCATAACAAGTACAAACTGAATGAAAAAAAGTGATTTTCGTGTGATTCTATGTTCATATGAAAGTATAGTTTCTTCGATTTTTTCTTTTCTTGTAATTCAATGTTAATGTGGAAGTAGTTATTTCGATAGGGTTTTTTGTTTTTTCATTTTGTGCCTGAAAGAAAATTTTGTGCATGATCTACACATCTTTGATTGTTTCTTGTAGTTATTCTCTATCTTCCTTTCTTTTGAAGTTTCCCACATTTTTTGATGGAGAAGTAGGAAGCCAGAAAACTGTTTTCCTTAAAATATTCCATTTTCAATTTCAATTTAGATGCCACATAAACGGCTAGAGAGTGTCATCAGTCCAAAATATTTTTTCCAGAAATTATCAGTCATATTCGGTTAATTTATAATTTGAAACACAAATCTGATATCTAGCAGTAGAAATAATTTTTTTCAAAACTATAAATTATTTCTCACTGCAACCAAAGTAACCAATGTTTTTTTATTCTCGGGCGGACATCCTGAATATCATGGATTGCATATAACGTAATAATCCTTCGTGCACCGGGATTCAGCTTCGAAGCGGTTTTGTCATCCTACATCATTCATTGAACGACTAGAAGTAGTAATTATAGAGACAGACAGACGTCAGACTCCGGTAGATGTGAGCAAGACTCTGAAACACAGATGTAAACGACCTCATAATTTTTGTATAAAACTGCATGTATATACATGCAAGCTCATTCCATTTGGAACATTGAGATCTTGAAAGCGATAAAATACTAATTTCTCAGCAATGTTCGCTTAAAACAATTTATATTTTGAAGTGTTTTTTGATAGAGGATTCTAGTATCAAACACCGATTTTGTTTGTATTTTCTATGAATACTATATAAGAATANTCTATGGGGGACATTGAAAAATAGGATTTACGCTGGCAGAGAGATAGAAAATGTGGAAGATTCGAGATTGAGGATTTTGAATGATTTCGCAACAATGCAGCAAATAAGTGTATTAAGGGCAATAGATAATATGAAAAACAGAGTTTGAAAATGTCTCGAAATGGAAGGACTCCAATTCGAACATTTATTGCGCCTATAACTTTTTTGGGTACCCATATAAATTACTTCACTTCAGTTTTCATTACAATTATAGTGTTCGTTTCGGATGTTATTATTGCTACCATTCCGTTTTCTGCTTATTAAAACACATATAATATATTTTTGATGTAGATATGTTTCAAATAATCATAAAAGGTTTTCTTATTCGAAGTTCATTGTAGAAAACGCTCAGACCAATGGAAAAAATATGAATAGGTACCTAAAAATTAAAAAAAAAACTCTCGAAAAACTCTACGATACATAGGGAGACGTGAAAGTTATATTATGTTTTTATTCAACTCAGTCAACCAATTTCCAGGGCCGTAATTTAAAAGGGAATAATTCACACAATTATAATCGAAAATTACCGAAACATCTCGAAATATAAAATTGAATTTAACTTTTCAGTTTGAAGTGAATGTCTACGATCCAAAAACTACAACAGAAAAACAAGTGTTTACACTTAGCAGACTGTGTTAAAATATTATGCATGTAACTACTAACAATTTTTTTCATATTTATAGACACTCATTTGATATTGTACATTTGTTAATAAATTTGAATTTGTTATCAAGAACCCACGCAGAAGTTATTAGGTTTATATTTATTGATAGTTTGGTTCGATTTTGAATAACAATAACGATATTTTATATTGAAAATCACCCAGAATTATGATTTTAATGGTCTCAATCCTGTTTCAATCTATAATTTCTAATTTCAGATATACGAAACCTCAAACGTTTGCCGATTGCATAGGAAACGAATTACCTTTAGGCTGGGAGGAGGCGTTTGACGGACAAATAGGACCTTATTACATAGACCACGTTAACCGTAAGTAACATTGGAGATAAATTAAACATGCGCCACTCAAGACAGAATAATACTTCCAACGTCCGGCGCCAATGGAATGTAAAATCATATGTCGCGTCTCAGTTAATTATATGAAGTTCTGTTATATCGTAGAAAATATGAAGAAATGCTATTTCAAACGGCATACCTACCTTCTTCACCTGTAGAGTTTCATAAATTCTCGCGTATTAAAGATATAAGAGGAATCCAATAATGATAGAAAAGTTCGAATTCTTGTTTTTCATATTTACACGAAGTGAAAAAAAAGATGCAGTTGATCAAGTTGAACATATTTTGAATAAACAATACTCTGCATTTTTCAAAAAAACAACTGCTTGATCAATAAGTTTGCTCTTGCATTTCATCATAGTATAGATATCAAGCAAACTATAGATTTGGAACTGACGTTATCATGTGAATTTTTAACAAGTTCTGATGACAGCAATCTGCTCTTGATGTGGTGAATAAATTTGCGTCCACTGATTCAGTAAACGATCTACCAACACTCGTACTTTGACGGAACGCAAGATCTGACGAAAACATCGGCGCTGTCTGTGAGAGTGTGCAGGAGAATCCGAAGCAGTCAATTTCGCGTCGCTCACAAGAACTCGGCCTTTCGCAGACCTCAACTTGACGAATTTTACGTCGTGACTTGGACTTGTACCGATTCAAAATTCCACTGAGAGTGAACGACCATACACAACGACGTGTGCTCGCTGAATGGGCTCTGAATCAGTTGGCAAGTGACCCTAATTTTCCTCGAAAAATCATCTTCAGTGATGAAGCCCATTTCTAAATGAATGGGTTCGAGAACAAACAAAAGTGTCGAAATTGGAACAATACCAATCCACATATGATCCAAGAAAGACAAATACATCCCGAAAAGTCACTGTTTGTTGTGGATTTTGGGCTGGTGGCGTTATGGGTCCACATTTCTTTGAGAACTACGTTGGCCAGGCCATCACTGTCAACGGCGAGCACTATAGGTCCATGATTACCAACTTTTTTTGGCCTGAATTGGATGATCTGGACACCAGACATGTGGTTTCAACAAGACGGCGCTATGTTCCACACATTTCTTGCTACATTGGATATTCTGCACGAGCGATTTGTGGGCATGACCATCTTACGTGGAGGTGATGTGGACTGTCTACCGAGATCGTACTGACCCCGTTAGACTTTTTCTTGTGGGGTGTTCTCAAGTCGCAGGTGTTTGGGAATAACTCACAAACCACAGTGGGCCTCAAAGCTAAACCTTTACATTAGTTATTCAATCACTCTCTGAAAACACCAATTCATAAATAAATATGGTTATTACGATAATGTTAAAATGAGTATTTGCAATTGATCAGAGTTGCTTTTCCAATATGTTGGATTGTCTTATCACTTGAAAACTTTTGTTAATATAGTTCAGTCGATGAGTATACTGCAGTATGATCTGAATCAATTTTGAGTAATGTAAATTCAGTTCATTACACCTAAATTATCAGATAAATGTCAGATAGGTAATCATTTTCTGGAGTATCAAGAATGTACCTGATTTTCCATCTCCTGAAAACACGTTTCCCTCACCAGAACAAATATATTGTCCCTCGACGCTCGTTTCGCTTAATAAGTTAGCATAATCAGACTTCTACTGATTTTTTTTCCAAAACTAATGGAAAAACATTTGCAGAAATTGGTAACATCGAAGATCTGGGGGTTAACTTTGATTCAAGAATCTTGATTTTCGTTCTTATATTAATCCTGATCCTGATTGGCTTTTCGCTCCCCTGAAATAAAAAAAGTTTCAAAATAAATCAAATGAGAAAGGAAAAATTACGAATTTTGCCCAAAATTGTTACTGCGTTCGAATAAAATTCAGATAGTGGTTTATCAAACTTGTCAAAAATACTAATTGATTATTACCAATTTTGTCTATACTTAAAAAAACGAAAATACAGTGAGAAAGTAAATACCCCCCTCAAATTTTGAACGGAACAAAATATCAAGGTCGGACGAAATTTATGTTATCATTTTTTGTAGTAGTACTTTTTGATGAGAAAAACAATAGCGTTGTTTCACTCATCGCCGAGAGGGGACTGGTAATAATTCGTTCTATAGTATTTCAGTTCTCTATCCAATATTTCTTTCATTTTTGATCAGCCTTTCCTGAGTAATTGGCAGTTTTATATTATATAGTTTCAAGGAATTAAAAACAACCGATAAATACCATAATAAAAAAAAGTATTCTGAACTCATTTCAGTTCATTCCAGTTAGTAAATTATTGAATTGGTCACAATTAATTTTCTGTCAATGATGAGTTTTGCTCACAAATTCATTACGGAATGTTCCTGATTTAATTTCGTTAGGAGCACCTCTCATTCTGATCATGAGTTCTGGAATAGACTGTGGTTGTGCAACTCAAACTTTTTTCACCAATCCTCATACAAATCTAAGGGTTTCATATCAGGTAGTGCAGCGGGTCAGTGTAAGGGACCACGTTCACCTATTAACTGTTTTGTATAATCATTATCTAGCCACTTTCAAGCCAGTTCGTCGTAATAAAGAGGTATGTTATGCTACTGACCGCTAATGGCAAATGTGATCCCTCAGAAGAGCCTAGTTGATTACCTGATATGACGCCTCCAGATGTTTTTGAGGGAACACATGACATCTGAAGTGTACGACACACACAACCGCAATTCATTTCAGAACTCGTAGATAGAAAAAGAGGTGCTTGCAACATTACCTCAGGAACATTTCATGATGTAGGAAGAAATGTGAATAGACTTCATTAGTCATTATTGAAATTCCTTATTACTCGGGAACGGCTAATTAGATTCCTAACAATAAAAAATTATTGGATTGAAATACCTATCAAACGTGTTATCACAAGATAACACGTTTAAAAATTTGAAAATTGGTAGAAAAACCTTGGTAGCGCACTATCGTCGACGAGTGATGCAACACTATTTGTGTTCCTCATCTAAAAATACTTAAAAAATTTAATCTTTCTCTTGAAGATTATCACTTGGTGATTGAAACACGGGTTGTGAATTTACGTAAATTCACTATTTACTATTTAAGTTCGCACTGTATATGAATATTTAATTGAAATTTTTTTCCTTTGGATGATGTCTAGAGTTTCACTTTTTATCCCACTCTTGAATATTCATAGAAAACACCTTGGAATTGCATACAATTGTGTAAACATCAATTCAAGTTTTCTCAAGCAAGCAACGAAGAAATATCAACAATCCATTATGCGGGTATTTCGAGAGAAGTCGAATCTCACAAAAGTTGATAGTTTTATTACCTTGAAAATCCATGATTGATATCTCGAAACCATGTTTTTGAGATATCAATTCCAGTGGAAAAACTGTTTCGAGAATTGATTTCGACACATGCAAAAGTGAATGGATCTCGAGAATTATTGTTTTGAAAAACAACAGTCTTTTTCAAAAACATGTTTTTCTACTTTTGAGAAATGCAGAAAATTATCCTCGGATACTCTCGTTTGGGAGAGGTACAATTTTGTTAAAAAATATTTACTTTCAGAATCAACTCAATTGGAGGACCCTAGGCAAGAATGGCGGGCCATTCAAGAAGCTATGCTACGAGAATACCTCATAACCGCTCAAGATGTTCTAGAAGTGAGTTACTTTCCTATATTTGATTTTAAATGTGTAGCAAACAATGTTCTTTTCAAAGATGGTTTCGTAATCTGCGATTTTTGTGAACCACAACCAATAAAATTGTATAGCAAATTGTGTTGAAGGGAAATTGTATTTGTATTGAACCCTCAGGGATCTTACATCCAGGGATGTAAGATCTGGAAACCTTTTAAGGTTAATTCATCAATCCTCGTCTACCAATCCATCTAGTACGAACGAAATTGTTGTTTGAAAACTCGCCAATATTACGTGTAGCTATAGTGCGGGGGTGTATAATCTTCCTTCAACTAGATAGTTTTCTTCGATGAGTTAGGATTGTAAAAATATTGACAAAGACGTTCAAGTATAGTTCATTTCACCAAAAATTACAGGTGTTAATGGTCTCCTGTGAAATATGTTTCAAAGAAACAAAGACCAGTGATTCTGTGTCAGTATTCTAGTGAAACTCATCCTTGTGTTTGACAAATGGGTTTAAAGTATCTGCAAATTCAACATTTAGTCGTGAGTTTCGGGTAACTCAATGTTAATATGAAAGGACATTTTCCTTTCTTGTAATTCGATGTTCAGTTTGTATCTGAAGGAAACTTCTGTGCATGATCTAAAAAACTTTCCTCTTTTTTTCTTTCTTTCTTCGGAGCTTTCCACCATTTTTTGTTCAATGACGGAGAAATAGAAAGGCCAAAAAGCTTTTTATAGTGTGTTTGAGAAGCAAGAAGTTGGGCAATACTAACACGACGGGGGTTGCCAGGTCATGATCATTCTTAGCAGTAGATTTGGTGTCCAAATCTACTGCTAAGAATGATCTGCTACTGCTACTGCTACTGCATTTCCACTATTTACAGTTTCAGTCAACAGCAGATTTTTAACTCTTAAAACAGTAGTTCAGTTGCTCGGGACTTAAAACAGAAGATCGGCTGTAGAAACAGTAGAACTGGCAATGGCGCCCTACTTGTGCGATTTTTTCTTCATCTGTAGTGAATTGAATCACACTATTTCCTAGTCTAACTGCATAATGAAAGAATCGATCTTTTCTCTCGCGGCATTGGATGGATAACTCTGTAATGAATATTATTGACTTCGCGCATCTATTATGACAAAATTATTTTTCATGTTTGCACGATTACAAATGTAAACTCATTTCTCTTTGTGCGCACCATGACAACAAACCGAACTTTATCACTTTGTTCGATCTTAATTTTTTTTCTCAATTTATCAAATGGTTCAATACTTATTTTGCTATTTCGAACGGAGACCAATTCAACAAATCAAAAATTATGAATATCGTTCCAGCCGTTTTCCAGCCATAAACACGATTTTGCAACTTTTGCTCTATACTCGTATTAATTTTTTGAATTATGACGATGTTATCCACCCATTGAAAGCGCGGTGATGCTACCGTTACGACCTTTTGTTGAATACGATAACACTTCGAGATTAAACAGTGAATATTGTTCTTTTTTGTACACGCTTTATATCTGTTTCACCTGTATGTATGTATGTTTGTAATTCTCCTTTTCATTTCATATCGGGATCTGTATCTTACAGAATTATCGACATTATTGCTTGATCTATTCGCGGGAAGATGGCTGTACATGACATCCTTGATATAATTCGAACTCACTTTACATGTATTTCTAAAAAGTATTTTTTTTATTAACACGCGCGTCTGCTGCCTTATTTGTAACCCTCCTTTGCACGCCTGCTGCCTTGGGCTTGGTAGATGATTTTCAGGCTGCCTTTATTCTTCATGGATCGGGGATACGGAGCTCTCATACCATATAAGTCCCTTGATTATTCCACAAAGATCTGAGAAGTTCTAGATTATTTCCGATCATTCCAGATTATTTCCGATCATCCTATAATTCCACAGAATGTTCCAGGATGTTCTGGAATATTTTGGAGTGGTTTCGAATACTCTCGAATGTTTTTGACTATTCCATACCTTTCTAGAGGGCGAAATTTCCAGCTCTCATATATTCAAGAGCGTTCTAGTCTCGATTGTTTTCAACTGTTCTAGACCTTTCTAGAGAGTGAAACTTCCAGCCACCTATATTACAAAAGACCGCTTTCCAGATGGAAATGATGAAATCTGCTTCATGGATGAGGGGATATGGAGCTCCAAAACCATTTAACTTTCCTAATCATCTCAGGAATGTCAAAGATGTTCCAGGATTTTCCGAACATTCCAGTCTATTCCTGAACATTCCAGAATGTTGCAGGATGTTATGGAACGTTGTGTAATGCTTCCGAATACTCTCGAATGTTTTGTTTTATAACTTTCTAAAGGGAGAAACTTCGAGCTCCTTTATCTTCAAAATTACACCCTCTTCATAGACAAGCTGATGTCACAGAAACAAAAATAAAAGCATATTTTGTTTGCTATCTGTGCGAAGCCGGGTCTGCTCTCGTGATCGAAAAAAATATACATTTGTTTTGGATCGAATAATCGAACCTAATGACGTATCGGACGTCGAGATGTGGTGTGAATAGACAGGCACTCCAAAAAAGGGTAACAAATTATCTAAAAGGCCAGACAAATACTTGTCATGTAGCGGCGAAAAAAAGGAAAACAAAAAAGAGCAGTTTTATTTTACATCGCAACCTCGACATTCCTCAGCCGTGGCTCGTGCCCACTGCCCGCATCGACGACAGTCAACACTGACCTCAGCCTTGTTGCCAGCGTTGCGCGAATTCGTTTTCAGGTAGTTTGAGTAAACTCAAAAGTGAGTTCGGATATTACCTCCAGTAACTCTTTTTTTTTATTTACCGTTCAGATTTTAGAAACGGAGTAAAAGGAGTGCAACTTGATGCGTTCGGTAATTCCAGGAGTGGGGTGAAAAGGGTTACTCCTTCGTTATGGTGTTGTTATTTAAAAATTTTCAGGTATGCCCAAACTAGAGTGAAAATAGCGCCCAAACGGAATCGAAAGTGCCCACTGGTCATTTTTCTCCTTCTCATTTGTGAAAGAACCTTCAAGCATACGGAGTTTCGTAATTCTACTATCCACTTTTATTATTTTCGTAATAAATCTATTATAGTCCATTCAGTACTAACTGAGAGTGAAAGAATTTCAAGAATGTAAACATACCGAACATCAAGGAAAGCAGCTTAGTCGTCTCAAGCAAGTGGAAATGCAATTAATTCACAGAGTCACTGAGATATTTCTACCCGCTATGCTCTTCGAGGACGCCGCTAAGGAGTCATTAAAATAGTGACCTTGCCACAAAGAACATCAAAAGAGGCGGCCGACCGTTTTTCTCATATTGCGTTTAATATAGTATTAATAGACGTCGGACTAGGGAGGGGTATTAATATAAATTTTCCAATGCGAGGATAATTGAAATATCGTAAAAACTAATTTTTTACTAACTGAGAGTGAAAGAATTTCAAGAATGCAAACATACCGAACATCAAGGAAAGCAGCTTAGTCGTCTCAAGCAAGTGGAAATGCAAATAATTCACAGAGTCACTGAGATATTTCTACCCGCTATGCTCTTCGAGGACGCCGCTAAGGAGTCATTAAAATAGTGACTTGCCACAAAGAACATCAAAAGAGGCGGCCGACCGTTTTTCTCATATTGCGTTTAATATAGTATTAATAGACGTCGGACTAGGGGTATTGATATAAATTTTCCAATGCGAGGATAATTGAAATATCGTGAAAACTAATTTTGTTCAAATATATTATTTTGTCGTTTTATATATGAAATAGTTTTTTATTTAGGATTGTTACATTCCATAGATCTGTAAAATTATCAAAATATTAAATTTAAAAATAAATACAAATGTAGTGTAAAAATCCAATTTCTCAGTAACTTGAATTTATAAACATTTGCATACAAAAAAATATGTATCATGTGGTGACGTTTCAAAGACTATCCAATTTTTTTATCTAACCTATTTAAATCAAAACATTATAATTAATAGTTGAAATTCGTTTTTTGATTTAGGTCAATTTGATATCATTATTGACACTGATAATATGAAATTTATCGTAGGTTTGATAATTAAACGTCACCAGATAAGTATATAAATTGAATAGGTTTCGGCGGTTACATATTTGAACATCAGAATTTCGGGTTGAACCGCGCTCAAGTTTTGCATTGTTCGACGTTTCGGCTTCGCCGGTTTTGGTGTTCTGATCTTGCCAAACCTTCGAGACGGTATGACTCTCATTGACCCATGTTTCATCCGAATAAAAAATAAATTTACCCAGTGTTCTGGATATCTTCATTTCTTTTAAAAAGTTTCTTCTCCATTCTACAATCTCTGATTTTTCTCAATATGCTCTTTCTATCTTGTTTTCCAAAAGTGAAGTTCAGCTTTTGTAATATTTTCCATAATCTAGTACTTCTTATATCAGGAAAAAAAACTTTTTTCACGAGTAACTGATAAAACTTCATTGAATGTAGGTATTTTTCATCGATAATCAAACAAGTTCTGCCAGTGGATACTTTCGGCTCCAAAAAGCTGTTGTTTTCCTCAAGTTCCTCAAGAATTGTCGATCTATTGACACCGGTTATACTCGAGCATTTTTGCACTACGTCCTCCTTACTTTTTATTTTGGGCGGAGATAGTATTCTTAAATAATCATAAACATTTTTAACAATTGTTTTTTCATTTATTTAATGCTGACAGTTTCGAATGCTTCACGGTCCCCGAACAACTAGCTTCCATTATGTATAGCTTTTTATTCCCGAACAACTAGCTTTTATGTTGTATAGCTTATTATTAAACGCGCTCTCGAAGTAAACTAAAGAATATTATCGACACTTAGACTATAATTAACCCCTCTAGCATTTCCTTTAAACTCCCAACAGAAAATAATATAATGTTCTCCCTTGGTTACTACTGGACATATTTTCACATTTGTCGTATATAGTTGATTTGTTTGTTATTTTGTTATGAATGATATTTTTCAAGAATAAATTCTGTATATTTATTAATTCAATTCGTTGACAGTAAATGATTTGAATGCA